CATATACATTAAATTTGAAAAATATTTGATATTCCCCAGGTAAACTTCATTTTTGTTGATCTTTTGGAAGAGGTCGTCTAAACAGAAGAATATGTGGTTCTGGCTCATGAATCATGTAATGAACCCAGCCTAGACTCTGTTGGACACCAAGTCTCCTCCACTCCTCTTCAGACATCAGGTGAGTTTTAGGTACTTGTTTGGAAAGTTCTCTGGGTAACATAACATGCCGGTACTCGTAGTGCTTGTCGAAGTACTTGTCCGAGTAGTAGATCTGCTTGTGGGCCATCCTGCTGGCGCGCTGATGGAAACGAGAGAGCACGAAGAGCGGGCACAGCAGACAACTCGCACATGTCTCCTCAAAGCAACGACTCGGCAGGGGCTCTAAAACAATGTTTCTATGTGATCACAAGTCAGGTAAATATCAAAGACAATCGAATTTAATTACAATTGCACATGTCAGAGTGTTCTGTTGATGAGCCAGTGAAAACTGGGTGAGTAACAAAGGCATATATAATTCATTAATTACACTGATTCTGTAAAATTTACTACTCTTGCTTTCATTTTACCAAAATCACTAATTATGTGGTCATAATCAAGATTTTTACATTATGTCCTTCTACTATAAGTAACTCCAAATTAAATAGCCTTTCTTGAGCCACAGAAGTCCCTATGTAAGTTTGTTTTTTCTATTTTACCAATTTCAATTTGGAGAACAACAGCACTGAGACAACAGCAAGTGAAATAAAATTTCTAAAGCAATAATTAGACTCAGAAGCAAATCATGAACTTTATGTTTTGTGTCTAAACATTGTAATGAAGCCACATATGATAAATTATTATAATTGCTAAAATATTATAGACTACTTAATTCCATCATATAAATCATTAGCATATACTATTTTTGCCATATTTAAAATCAATATCAATATCCAAGCTTTTATGTGAAGAATCAGTATCATGCTTCATGAATGTTATATCTAAACCTACATATCTGTATCTACATAGGTAGATGTATGAGTAATACAAATCATTTAATATTGCAAAATGTTTCCCAGGTGCCATGTTAAGAGCAAGCAAGTAAATGGATGCTGGGCAGTATTGGGATATAATTCATTATGCAAAAATATATTTATATGATCTGAGAGGAAAGAACTGATAATTTGCTTTTTTGTCTTACCTAAGCACTTCTACTGCTCAAATACCTCCCTCAGAAATAATATGTTTCTGAAGTTGGCAGTGGCCCAAACTACAACCTTCACAGAATTCCAGCACAATCACCTTTTATTTGAAGAACACAGGACAAAAGATGGCAAGGTGAATGCTGCTATTAATCTTGAAAGAGGCTGTTTAGGATCACAGGTCATGCTGTGCCAGAGCTGAGACCATACCACAGGTAACTCCTGCCCATGGATTTTTTAATAAACATATTTTTGTGCTCGTGGTACATGGAGCCTGCTAAGACATGGGGCCCAAGGCAAAAACCCCTTCTCTGGGGCTTAAAGGGCCATGACACTATGCTACTTCCACGGCTTAAAATGCTCTGGGAAAGGAAAAGGGAGGTTATAAGATACAGCAGGATCTTCGTGAGGGTTTAAAACCTAAATAGGGAGCAGGTAGAGTGCTAGGATCCATAAATGCAATAAGAGAGACAGTTACCCAAATGTTGGAGATTATGGATCCTTTGTACATGCCTATGATATCCTAGACTGCCTCGCAAAGCACCTGGTGCAAAATCAATGCGCAATAAATGCTGAGGATGAAAGAAAGGAGCACATGGGGCCCCTGAACTGATGAATTCAAACTTCTGATGTCTTAAAATAAATGTCTTCCCATTTGTCCTCCACTTCTTTCTCTTTCTCTCCGTCTGCCCAGAGTTTCTCCCTTTTATCCTTTCTTGTCTCCCAAGGACACACCCTTAGTAGTTAACCTTATTCACTCTCTTAGGTTCAAGATACCAATTCGTATTTGATATTTGCCTCCCGTTTAAATTGCTTTTAATTAGTGTGTTCCAGGGGGATGTTGTACATACTTGTATACTCATTTAGCTGACATTAGGGGGTTTTTTCTTAGACGCATGCTATGCATCCTACGTAATATCATTTCCATTAATGAAGTTTCTGACAAGGAATCGGGTCACAGTAATCTTTAACTTTGTTAAAGATGCTGTTACAACATTTTTGAAGTGACTTCCTGGACCCATTAAAAATAGAAAATATTAATCATGTTCAGTAATTAAGAAAAAATAAATAGCTAATATGAAATGAACCCAAATCATTATTCATCTGTTTTGGAATGGAGAGATGTACTGTACAAGCACAAACACTCCCAGGCATGCTCTAATTCACCCCCTTAAATGACTGATATTTTATCCTATCTTGGTTTAGTTCAGCCAACTTTAATTATGAGCAAATGCTGAGAGTCGAGAAATAAATTAGATATTTGTGAAGCACCCACAAAGTTCATGGTACCATATGAGGCTCTCAGAACACAGTGTACAGAAGAGCCAGTCTTCTTAAGGAGTTCATAATCTAAGAAGAAAGGAAACAGAAACACACAATTTAACTGCAAAATGAATAGGTCAGAGACTGCATTTGTAAATTAGAGAACGGATTGAATAAATTTGGGTCCTACCTAAACACTGGTTTGCAAGAAAGCATATAAAAAAGGAAGTAAATAAGCCAACTGAGAGCGTTACACATTCAATTTAATTTTTTTATTGAAGTAAAATTTACTTATAGTCAAATGCATAGATCTTAAATATACAAGTCAATGAGTTTTAACAAATGCATATATATATAACAATATATGAAGGTCTGGTTTCTCTTCAGAATGAACACATCTTTCACCTTTTACAATGTATCATTTATGATATAGAATATTACCATCACCCTAGAAAGTTTGTTAACATCTGTAGGATCTATATAGTGATATCCCTCTTTCATTCCTGGTTTTAGTAGTTTTATGTTTTCTCTCTTTTTGTCTTGGTCAGTTAACTTTCTTACTCCTTTCCAAAAAAACAGCTCTTAACTGTTACTCTTCATTGTTTGTACATTTTCTACTGTCTTGATTTCTGCTCTTTTTTACTTTCTTTCTTATACTTTTTTGCCTTTAATTTTCTCCTTTTGGGCCGGGCGCGGTGGCTCAAGCCTGTAATCCCAGCACTTTGGGAGGCCGAGACGGGTGGATCACGAGGTCAAGAGATCGAGACCATCCTGGTCAACATGGTGAAACCCCGTCTCTACTAAAACTACAAAAACATTAGCTGGGCATGGTGGTGCGTGCCTGTAATCCCAGCTACTCAGGAGGCTGAGGCAGGAGAATTGCCTGAACCCAGGAGGCAGAGGTTGCGGTGAGCCAAGATCGCGCCATTGCACTCCAGCCTGGGTAACATGAGTGAAACTCCGTTTCAAAAAAAAAAAGAAAGTGGTTGTTGAAGACAATAGATAACGGGTCTGGTGGTGGTAGAGGTCCTTGGCAGAATTTTCTTTGCTATTCGAAATGTAAATTTATTCTAGCTGTAAAGGTAAACTCAATATTCAATACAAAAATATAATTATTTTATCAGTACCAACTTACCATCTCTTTAATGTCCCCTACCGTGGTATCCTGTTAACCACAGTAATATATTAAAACCGGGATGCAGTCAGCTAAGCTTTAGCTTTCCAGAAGAATGCTTTTTGAAGCTTAGCTCCTTTAAAAACAACATCCTTACTTAACTCTCTGGGTTATAAAATGTTTATGTGAAAAACCTTCCAAAAGAGTTTTAATCAAAAGTCAGAAGCTTATTAAACCTTTTTCTTTCTTTAGTCTTAGGATACAGTGCATTAAAATGCATAAGAACAGGTAACAGATGAAGCTTTGTTCTTGAACAACCCCCTTGATGCTTGCAGATTTCACACTGAAAATTACCATAAGTTTGAGGTAGGAAAGACTTTTCTTCTTGTTTCAAAGCCCTTCCATACCAGCCTCTTACCAAAGCACTTGGAGATAATGTGATGAAAAATGCAAACTAGAAAAGAGAGAATGATTGCTATTTCAAAAGTAATTTCTCTTTTCAAGGATCCTAAAGTTTTTAATAAAATATCATTTTAAAACATGTTATCAGGGCCTCACAAACACTTGATATTCAGCAAGGAAATTGCTCTCCAAGGCTAGGCATGGAGGCTCATGCCTGTAATCCCAGCACTTTGGGAGACTGAGATGGGCAGACGTGGTAGCTCACACCTGTAATCCTAGCACTTTGGGAGGCCCAGGCAGGTGGATCACCTGAGCTCAGGAGTTCAAGACCAGCCTGGCCAACATGGTGAAACCCTGTCTCTACAAAAAATACAAAAATTAGCTGGGCATGGTGGTACACACCTGTAGTCCCAGCTACTCAGTGGGGCAGGGAGGGGGAGGGCTGAGCAGGAGAATCACTTGAACCCAGGAGGCAGATGTTGCAGTGAGCTAAGATCATGCCACTGCACCCAGCCTGGGTGACAGAGGGAGACTCCCGCTCAAAAAAAAAAAAAAATTGGGCCCACCCATCAGTAATGAGATTCACATGTATCTGCACAGTCTGACTGGTGGTCCTGGGTAAACTGAAGAGATAATCTTCCTTAGTCCCATGTCTTCCTTGAAGGATACTATGACCTAGATTTCCTCTCAGGGCCTGGTAGTACAGAGAGCAGTAACACACAACTGAACCAGGGAAAATGCACGTGCCTAAAGAGATCCTGGGTGGGCAGCTTAAGGGAGAAGTAAGACTGAACCCGCCCACTATCCTTCCACAGTAGATGCCCGGCCATCAGTTTTTGATTTTTTTTTTTTATTAAAGAGACGTATCACTGAGGTTGGAGACTACAGTGGTGCAGTCATAGGTCACTGGAGCCTTGATGTCCTGTGCTCAAGTGATCCTCCCACTTCAGTCTCTTGAGTAGCTAGGACTACAGGTGCACCCCACCACACCCAGCTAATTTTTATTTTGTTTTGTAGACAGGGGTCTTGCTCTGTTGCCCAGGCTGGTCTCAAACTCCTGGTCTCAAGCAGTCCTCCTGCCTTGGCCTCTTCTTTGCCTGAAGGCTTTCTTCAGTCTCTTGAGAGCTTGCATTGTTACAATGAGGTGCCACAGAGAAGTGGGGTTGTGGGTGAACACCCATAGGGGCAGTCTTCAACCAACAGGATGTGGAGTAGGTGGGTAAGTGCCCTGGCCTCCTCACCCTCCAGCGGACAATTCTGAGGTACAATCCACCCAGTTTCTCAGAGGATCTGAAGCAGGACTGAGCTGTAGTTACCCATAGCACAAATCTACTCAGTAAAACACTTTTTTTCTTTTCTTCTTTCCCTATCTCACTTTCTCCATTTCCTCATCTCTGCGTCTTAGGATCGCCTCATAA